CCCATGTGCACATGGCTCTACTGACAGTTCCTAAACTGACCACCTTTGGTTATAAAACTATAAAAAGGGAAACCGTAAACATCATACTTTGTGTACAAGTAAGAGTTTACTAAGATACCTATACCACTATATCTCCAGCAGGATCTAAATTCAAAGGCATTTTAAAAGGTTCATGTACTACCAATGCACCTTTTTAAAAATACATTAAATTAAAGTATTTGAAAACCAATGAACTGGCACCAATTTAAACTTGGGAGTGAGACGACAGCAGACTTAGAGCACATCAAAATTCACATTACCTCCCTTTCTACAACCAACAGACTGCACACAAATTAGTTCTTCATGAACAACTCCCTAACTAAACCCTCTGTTCTTGAAGAATGACAGAATCCACTCTGTACCTTCTACTTGGGTCTCACAAAGATGGCTCCTCCTGCAGATGGCTAGTACAGGCCAGTGTATTAGGCATGGATCTGAGCATTCACTGGAACCAGTTACAAATCTAAGAGGAGATGGATGGCAAATGCAATTCTTGCAACAAAAAAGTTTGACATGCAGACTCAATCCTCCCAGTTTCCTTCCCCTTTAAAGAAAGCAGACCCATACTTTTTTTTTTTTTTCCTCTGAAAGGCCCTCAGCATCCACAAAGGGAGAATGATTCAATGATTTGCCATATTATATACCTTTCTAAGAATTCTCTATGAACATAGATACTGTGCACAACTATCACCCAAAGTTAAAGGAATTGACAAAAAAAAAAAAATCCCACTTATTGCATTCTTATTTATAAATGGGCCAAATATTTTATGCAAACTTAGTTATGACATAAAACTGGGTATCATGTATTATTTTCTGTATTAAATGCAGATACTAAAGAAAGTTATTTCAAGGTTGTTTAATCATGGAATTTAATTCAAACTGTATTAAATGAAGTACTCAATACGTATACTGTACCATTTCACAACTGTTATTTTGAAGACCCAAAGAGGAGTTAGTTACCCAGAACACATAATATACAATACTTGAAGCAACAAATATAGCAACACGTTTGACAAAAGCCCCTTTGGGCAAGTTGCATACATGTAAGCAGATTGCTGCAGATTGGATTTGACTCTCAACCAAGCTTGCAAGATGACTGAGAATTAACCTTTAAATCCACCTTCTTACCTAAAGAAGCCTTCATGCTAGGCTACGTTTATTTCCTACTCAAGGACACCCTATATATGTCCTTGTACTGTCATCTATTATGTAAGTACAGCCTGTTTAAAATGTAATTATGTTAAGCAATACTTGTAAACAGAGTTCTCAACTTATTCTGATGAGTACACGTAGAACGTTCTTAAATACACTGCAACCATCTCTGCTGATACATTTTCCATATCAAATACTTCTTATAAATACTTTCCATAAATACATCCACAGTGGCAAGCATTTATCAAAAATAATTTTATACAACATTAATTTCTCTCTGATTAACATGACCCCTTAATTAAAAAAAAGTTTGTCCTTTATATCCAACGTAATTTTCAACCGACAAAGAAAACAGCAACTGTAACTATTCATGTGCAGACTGTTTCTTTCGAAACATAAAATAAAGGATGTTTAAAATTGTGCTGCAATTTGAAGAGGAAGATGAATCCAGTACGTTTCTCAAGCAATATGCAGTACTTGCATATTTCGGATTACACTTTAAAGAAGGATTAACATTCAATCAATGTTAAGGAGATCAGAAACCACAGATAACATACAAGTCACATGCACATCTCCTGTAGAAAGCCACACACTTTATTTTTTACAGCAAAAATTTCACCAACCAACCAGACTCTTGTAAGTGGAATTATCATTCACATCATATTATAACTAAAATTTTAAACAATCTCACAATGAACTAAGCTTTTGTAAGAAGTAGGGGAGACATTTCAGATATGGTTTATTCGAGTAAAATACATAGTTAATAAAAACTGAACTTCTCCAATGAACTTCTCCAATAGCATTTGAAAATATTTACAGAGACTAATACCCAAATATTAAAGTCTACATGACCAATAAATCTAAGGCTATTAACTCTTAATAAATTTGAAATATGAATATATTAAAGTGTATGGCTTTAAACTAATAACAGAATCTTCCAAAATGCTCTTTTACAAAAATCTGATAATAACTGAAGTTTGGGATAAAATAAAAAGCAGCCATCTTCTTTAATGTAATGTCATTAAACTATATTCTTGTTTGTTTACATCCTTCCTACTTTTAAGTTTGGGTGCCACATATCTTTTGCATTGAATTGAAAAAATAATTTCTCTTATTTCATGAGCATGCAGTCTACCACAAGAAAAAGAAAGTTTTTAGACCTGAAGTCTTCTACAAAGACAATCTACTGAAATGGTCCGTATGAATGACTGCAGAAAAGGTATGCTAGCAGAAACTCTGATCCCCAATTATGACTGGCTTTCCAAACTTTCAGCTTGACAATTCATGATGAAAATCAGCCTACTTCAATTTCAAGTTTCAGAGAAACAAGTCTTGAAAATACTCATCGAATTCCTCCTCCCTAAAAAAAAAAAAAAAAAGAAAAAAAAAAAGTCAAAGAAAGTTCTGCTTCGGATCTGTACCTATGAGAAAATCCTTGTTATGAAAAAGATTCAGCAGAATTCTGATTAGAATTTGTAGATGGTATAGATAATTTTGACTTATTCAATACATTCCAATACCCTTTACACTTCCCCTTCTATGTAACAGCAGTGAGTTGACCATTAGGATTTATTTCTAAGACAGTTAACGGTACGGTAGGGGGTAAGACAGCAGTGGTACGGTAGTGACTTGCAAAGGTTTCTCCTCCAGTGTTGTGTATGTCTCATCTTTGAAAAAACATACTTAGGTTCACTACATGGAAGGAGATCTGACACAATTTTAAATGTCAGAATATTAATTTAAACAGGAAAAAATCTCTGCCTTTTCAGTTCTGAATGCACACAGTATGTTTTACTAGCTACAAGTTCACTACATCAAACTAACCGTGATTTTTCATCTGCTTCTTGTAAGGGACCTTTCCAAAAGTCAGCATCTGAAGGACCGTCTTGTGCACTACTGTCATCTGAATCTGTTAAAAAATTTAAAGTGCTTATGAAATGAATGTTAAAATAATTTATCTTTTTTTTTTTAAATTTAGATGGTATAATGCTAGGAGTAATGTTTCATTGTAACCATGAGAATAAAAAGAACACTTTACTTTGCAAACATTAAAAACAAAAACATTTTCCAATATTATTCAATACAGCACCAAAAAGACTCAGGTGTCATGAACTAGTATTTTGGCCAGACATAAGAACAATCATGTCAAAACACTGATCTTGACACAACAGCAGCATAATACTTTGTTTCTAACATTAAGGGTTTATAGTTACAAACCCAGAATTACAATTCAGTTTCAACTCATGATATTAAATGAATCAATTACTTCTACTTAAATGACAACTTCTATCAATTGTAATTTATCAGTGAAATTGTCAGAAAACATGGATTACTCCATAACTGTTTCATGTAAGTATACAGAAGGAGTGAAAACCAAAAAAAATCTCTTATCAGAAAAGTGCCCTGACCTAAAAAAAACCCAATCTTCCAATAGAGCTTTCCTGACAAAACAGACTTAGGGCAAGGTCTTAGTTATAAGTAAATTGCTTCAGGTCTTCCTCTATCTAGCTGGGAAAACATGGGTGCTGAGGACATTCCTAAAAACGTATAGGACAGCAGAGCAATGAGCAGAAACACTCAATCCCTTCTAGACAGTCTGCAGCAAGTAGTGGCATGACCAGGAGATGGGGCTTGTTACATCAAAAAGAAACTGGGGAATGGAACTGCTGAGATACAGAGACAACCGGTGCCTAAGGAGTCACTGAAATTCTGAGTGCATCCACCCGCAACAAGTAGGTCTCTGAGGTACTAGAGGTGATAGCTAGAAAAGACTTTACTTAAAGCCTAGGATTTATTTGAAATCTATTAACTTCTTTGAGTAGACTACATATTAGTATCATTCCGTGAAAGGAAATGTAGTAGTTATATTGGAAAAGTACTTCACACAACACACATTACACAGCACATATTTGCATACCTGCACCCACGCAATTACTAACAATGTACCTATTTTTGCACCTTCTGTTCTCTTCTGGAACAACCTGACGTCTCCTTTTTCTGATTTTTATTCCGCTATCTTTCCACATTTTTATTCCTTACTTAAACTTAAATGATTTCCTTCTTAAAATTCCTAACAGTTTTTCTCCAAGATTTCGTAAGTGATTATTTTGACTCTTCATACCTCTGCTTGTTTTCAGACAGCATTCTTACCACCTTATAACATATTAAGACTGCCAGTGAATAAAAGTAAGACTAATGACAAATGACCATGAAATAATACAACTTCTTGCAAAAACATAAAATGCAGAAGATATTCAAATACTTTACCTTTATCAGAATTATCTGAATCTTCTGAAGAAACTGGATCTGGAAAGAAACACCATTTACAAAATAGTAAGCTATCTTGGTTTTATCCATTATCTTAAATTGTTTACAAGGATACTTCTATCACAATATATTAAACATAAACATGTGCACATGCACGCACACACCATACATTCAAAGAAAGCAAGTAAGCACTGAAGTAATTTTTTTTTTTCGCATGAGTTCAAAGGCCATCAGTTTGAGCTCAAATACATTACTTTGAGACCTGTGGCGTAAAAGGTTAACTAACATTTCCAAAAGGCTTTAAACCCCAAAGCCTCAAGGAATTAAATACTTCACAACACTTTCTGGTATGCAATGTCTAATTCTTGGACAATTTCTCAAAAGGCTTTCCCTCTCTGTGAAATATAAGAAATTTATCCTTTTTTCCCTCCAAATTTAGCTTTCTTGTGCACCTAGGAAATTCAACGTAAAAATATGTCTTTTTGAATCTGTTACAGCCAAAAAAGTTA